CTGTATCTCATCCGTTCTTTTTCAGTCACTCCTGAAACTTTGCTGCATGTACAGGGTATGTGGCTGTTGGTCCTGTTAGCAGCACGTAAAACAAAACTTTTATTCAAATTCTGAATTGATTATAGCCTGCCTAGAAAGCGAGCAAATAGCGCTTCCAAATAATCACTAAAAAGCTGTCACTCACTTCAATTGATCACAATCTCACGATGTTCCTTTATAATCAGTGAAGCTCTCTGAACTGCAAATAATATCTTATTTACGTGTCTACGTGTGGCGTTTAGCACTGAGTGAATTCTGACTGTCACAATGCGTGCGTGAGAGGTGGCAGCCCAATCTATATATTTCTTTATTAATATCTTAATATATTATTATATCCCATAATAACCATTAGCACGCACGAGCATTATCACACGAGCTTCGCTCCTCCCGACCGCAGACGCAGGTTTACAAGCCACTTTTTCCTGCGTTTTTCAATCAATTTCTTGACTTTTCCCCACTTATGAACAACACATTTTCGTACACGATAAAAGCTTCTTGTGGTTTCTCGGTTTGGCCAATTTAAGCATCCATAAACAATGCAAAACACAGGCATTTTGAGTTTCTGCTAGTGATTCCTATGGAGAGAAAAATCACTTCCTGCCCTCCAGCTGCATTTCGCACGTCATGTGCAAACAACCTATACAAGTCCTCTATCTACGATATTGATTTCCAGTGAAAAAGTCAACTCATCCGAATCAGGGGAGAAATATGCACAGATCAAGCACCATGTACGAGTCAAAACAATCCTAAATACATATGTTGTGGATTTTGAATTGAGAAACAACAGGAGATGGACTTTTTCACTGGAGGAAGCATTATTATAGATTATGGATCTATATTTTGGCTAGAAGCAAAGGTTTAAACGCCATGAGCATGCAGATTTTCATTCCAAAAGACATTAACGATTAACAATACTTGTCAATTGGTGTGATGTTTTTGTGGTCAGCTGTTTGGACTCTCATTCTGACGGCACCCATTCACTGCAGAGGATCCATTGGTGAGCAAGTGATGTAATGCTACATTTCTCCAACTCTGTTCAAATGAAGAAAAACTCATCTACATCCCGGATGGCCTGAAGGTGAGTACATTTTCAGAAAAGTTTCATTTCCTTCCACCCCATATAAGCAGAAAAGCATTATATAACCCATAACAATACATTTTCTCCTTAAAAAAAATAACTTTTGTGAATTTGGCAGAACATCTTGTGCCAGCAACTCATACTCACCAACATTCGACATCTCTAATACACTGGCCACGTAGGTATCCTTGGCAAACTTTGGCTCGTTGTCATTGATGTCATGGATTTTGATGATGAATTCCGAGGCCCTCTCCAGATCCTGTCCGGAGGTTTTGTTGACGGCTTTGGCGCTCAGTGTGTACAATGCTTTTTCTTCCCTGTCAAGCCTCCTGGTGGCGTGGATATCACCCGAGTTCTCATCAATCTCGAAAACAGTTCCGGCCCCATCTCCGGTGAGGACGTACTTCACACTTCCATCTTCATGGTCCATGTCTGAGTGAAGCTGAAAAGAGCAAAGAGAGTTTTGCTGGAATTAACAGTTCCCGAATGAACTGTTTTCTTAGTGTGCGACTGGCAAATTGTTCGCAAATATACTCAGTCTGTCAAAGCAAAATGTTCAGGCGGTGGCCCTAAACCTTGTGCAAATGGAAACAGAAATTAAACCATTCGCTAAACGCAGTTTAAGCCCTTGCTGGCCGAAGTCAGAATGTGTTTCTTGAGCAATGTTTTTAAATGAGTCATGAATATGTGAATATGAATGTGATTTTGCACAAAGGCCCTGGCGCTCGGTTTAATTTTCTTTGTGGGTGCAGCTTGAAATTTCGACTTAAGTATTTCATTCACATCAGTATCAGTAATCGTTTCACAATTCTCCTTTTCCTTTTCAACAGCAAACACAGAGCGCCGAATGGCGATCTTGCCATTATCTGCAGGAGCGCAGAACTTACTGTGTAGAAAGCTCTGTGTTTGCCGTGGTTGACGGCATATGGCAGATATCTCAGAAAACTCAGAACAGTCACAATTACACAAAACACTCCTTCAGAGCAGAACTTTCATTTTACACCTGTCTCTTAGCAACAAGAGGAAGCCCGACAGGCCTCTCCATTTGATTGCAGTTCCTCTTTTCCTGATTAGGATTTTACCAGAAGAGGATAGCCATGCAGCCCTGGACAAAATATCCAATCAGCATAGGTGCCATAAAATGTTTCATATTTAATAAATGAACAATCAACGCCCGAAAGAAGCTGCAAAAACAGCCCTTGTTTTCCTCAGCAGTAAATAAGAAGAACCAAAAAACATCTTCCGTTCTAAGAGTGGCACGCTAAGCATTGCACCCTACAATTTCATAATCTGTCCACTTACGGCTAAATGTACACTATAATTGGAAACGATTTTAGAGGCTTTTCTAACCACTGTTATCAGGATGTAGATAATTTGACACGTAACAATTAAAACCTCAATTTGGAGGTTGCGTCATTGTAAGGCACAGCTCCTCTCTGTCCTGGAACTGAATTAGGTATCTATTACACACTCAATTGCATTAACAGCACACTAGCTTGCTGCTCAGAGAAATAGCTATCTTTACTTTAGTAGTTTTATGTCCTGGCATAGGCAATTGTAGGCGGCGAACCTGTGTGAATGCGATTTAGTTTCATGTTTACCGCAAAGCAGGGTTATTGTAGTTAACTAAAAAATGAAACCATACATTTTTGTTACTTGAAATAAAGTAAACATTAACTGTAATAAGCTAAAATATATGGAAGCCCATTTCCACCACTGAATAAAAGCATTAAAAAAAAAAGTAATTGCGATTTTGTTTCATGTTTACCGCAAAGCTATCTCATGTTTATCGTTATCTCACAATTCTGACTTTTTTTTTCTCAGAATTATGAGACATAAATTCTGAGAAATGAAGTCAGAATTGTGAGATATAAAGTCAGAATGGCAGGATTGAATGAATTCAATGAATTGAAACTCGCAATTGTGAGGAAAAAAAAGTCAGAATTGTGAGATAAAAAGTCACATTTTGCTTTTTTTGTTTTATATTTTATTCAGTGACAAAAGTTGGCTTCTTTAATAATAATAAAAAAAAAACTTAAGTAATTTTCATTTAGTTTAACTTTGTTATACTAAAGTAACTGAAACTGAAAGTAGAAATATTTACAATAAAACAATAACTATTAAAACTGACGTAAATACACAACAAAAATACTAAAACTTTAATTAAAATGAAAACGTAAAATATAAAATTAAATACAAAATATTAATAAAAAAATTTAAATCTCAAAAATACTAAAACAACCATGCTGCAAGTTGTAGGAAGGCATATATTAGTTATGTCATGTTTAATGCTCCCATACCAGTTGTTAAACTTTTTTAAAGTTCATTATTTTAAGCCTAGTGAAGTCACAAAATAAAGTGCAACCAAATGCACCTCTCTAAGAGATATACGTACTCACCCTCATGGGTGCAAACCCTTATGCTGCTATTTTTTCCATGAACAACTAGGAGAATCATATTGGTCGTTCTTTTCCATCCATTTAGTCCCCATGGGGACGAAAGCTTCAGAAAAGATGCAAGAGTGCTATTAAGACACCCTAAAAATACCACACATGACTCGTGCACTCTATTCTAAGCCTTCTGAAGTCATACATATGCTTTGTTTGAAGAACAAACTGCATTTTGTTGAATAAAATAACTGATATTTTTCTCTTTCAGTGAGCTTTGTGAACTGGATGAACTGATTCATCAAGAAAGTCTGACTCAATAGGATTCATTCATGAATCAAACATCTGTTCTTCTCTCGTGAGCACACCAAGGAGGACAATGATGCATGTCAAGATTTTCAGTGAGTAAATATCTACATTTTATTCTGTTCCTCGTACAAATCAGTGTGTGAATCAAATGGACTACTTTACCATAGAAAGAATGTCATGCAGGTGTGGAATGGCATGAAGGTGAGTAAACAATGACCTCTTAGACTTTATTAGGGGTTGGGACCCCCTCATACTAAAATACAGGAATCATATGTGTTCTGCATGGGGGGGGGGAAAGTATCTTTTTCTCAACTAAAAGCTTTTTCATTATAGTGTTGTGTTTGGAGTTTTCTGGCCTCCCCAGTGGCTGTCTGATTGGTTCTCAATTCCCATCAGCAAGCTGATGAGTCAATTATACATATTTCTGTTTATACCTTATTTTATGTTTGATCATAACACAAACACGAAACAGAGAAGGTCATGTATATCATCATTTTTTGGTCCTCATATATGCTTAATGTTTTGAAAGCATAGGGTGTCCAATCATCTTTTTTTTTTTTTTTTTTTATCTGCACTGTTTACAGAGAGATTTATCTTACAGTATGTCAGAACTGGCTGTGTAGAGGTGACATATGTAACACAAGTTTGATTAGTTTTGTGAACCCCTGTCTCACACTCTATTGATCGTTCGGGTCTCCTGGGATTGTGCTGTCACCGCTGACACGGAGAGAGAAGAGAAACATACACCGCTCGCTCACAAAAAAAGCCATTCGATACCAGAATGACCTCAGCCATTATGGACCGTGTCAGTTATCCATATTTACAGCATAACCGCACAGTTTAAATGACAATAATTGTTGATGACACTTCAAATCTCACTGCGTGAAAAAGAAAAACGAAATATCTTGAAGATGCAGCTCTGAAATATGTATAAAACAACTGTTTTGGCAACATGTGACAGCATCAGTGTGTAGATCCAGATGGTAGATACAACACATTTTCACACTCTGTTCTCGTGCTATTAAAAGCTGGTTTGTGGGGTTTTTATGGTATTTTACTGAAATCTAATAAATCTTGAAGAGCCTATACTTGACATCTGACAAATGTACTGTATTAGCAGATGCACAGTGTATATAATTGGATTACATCAGGGGGGTTATTCTCCAGTGGTTAGACGTGACATATCGCTCCAGCATTAGAAAGTTGAGAGAAAGTTATGTCAATGTTGTTCAATCATAGTCAAACAGTGTGGCAAATTTAATACAAATTCCCATTTTTCTCAGAATTCTAAATGCATGAAAATATGCAGCTGAGGGTTTGTGTGGAAAACTAGAAAAGATGAAATATGAAGTACCTTTTTTATATAAATAATTGACTGAAATGCTGCAATGGACATTAAATTTGCAGTCCAGTCAGCGGTTGTTATGACATGGTGATGGCTAATCTCATGAATATTAATTAGGCCGTGCTGACGTTGCTTGGTAACCTTTCTAGACTGCCCAGTCATGCAAGTAATTAATATTCATGAGGCAAACCTTCACCATAGTATGCCTCATATCCTGTGCTTGAGTTCTGGCATTTGAGATTCAATCTCAGACCATACTTTTAAAATAATTTTATTTCAAATGGATGTGATTCTTTTGAACTTTCTATTCATCAGTCCTGGAAAACCGATAACATGGTTTCCACAAAAATATGAATCGTCACCACTGTTTTCAACAGTGATGATAAATGTTTCTTGAGCAGCAAATCAGCATATTAGAATGATTTCTGAAGGGTCATGTGACACTAAAGACTGGCGTAATGATGCTGAAGATTCAGCTTTGATCACAGGAATAAATGCCATTTTAAAATATATTCAAATAGAAAACAGTTATTCAAAATTGTAATAACATTTCACAATATTACTGTTTATGCTGTATTTTTGAACAAATAAATGCAGCCTTGGTGAGAATAAGAGCTTAAAAAGCTTTCTGACTCCAAACTATTGAATGGTTATGTAAGTGCACTTGCAATAAACAATATGTATTGATTTGGAAACCGCATATAAAGCAGAGTATTTGATCTTCTCAAAAAGATGTCAAAACTATAATATTGATCATTTAACATCTAGTTATTAGCAATAAGATGTTTAAACAATTAAGATTGACAATAGCTCAATGCAAGATCCCAATTGAACCCAATGTGACATTTTTATTTATGACCTTTCATTAGCCTGCAATCTTAAGAGGAGCCATGGGTTTTCACAGCAATGCCAAAGAAGCACAATTTTTGGCTCCCCTAGAACCTTACTGTGGTGATGTCATATGAATAACCTTTATCCACTACAACCTTTTGTGCAATGGGAAGGTTTAATGTATGAAGCTTTATTTTTAAGAATGAATTCAAGAGAAAATGTTGCTTTGTTATGTTAGATGAGTGCAGATGTAGTACCGTATGTTTTGTAATTTCCCCATCTTGTAAAGACTGTGTGCAGTGTGCGCTGTCATTCATTTGTGACGAGCAGACACTGCAGACTCTGTCGCTGCAGGGGGTTTGTGGGTCAGTGGATATATGCACACATCAGACGCCTCTAGTTCTTTTCTCTTTTTTTCTTTCTTAGTGCAGGGGCATAAAAAGCACCTTTACTTGTTTGAAAAATTAGGTGTTAAAACTATAGGGAATTATAGTAGACAGCAGGAGTGCACTTTGGTTGAATCGGCTGTAAGTCCAGCATTTCGAAAGACATAAGTCAGTAAATACAGTT